GACCAAATTGCTAGTTCTTGAACAGCTCTAAACAATGATCTTGGTCCAAATTCCGGTTCCAAAACTTATCGTAATATTCGGCGTACGTGAAATCTCGATAAAGGGTTCGACTTTCTCCACACATGAGACCCTTCGGTGCACTAATACGCGCACCATCACACGGGCAGAGGAAAGAAGCTATCGAGAGCCTTGGCTTATCGGCATTCACTACAACCCGATGCCAAATGCTTTTGTACTTTCCATTACTCAATGCATAATATAAGAACGTCATAAAGTTCAAATTCTGATCAAATTATGCTCCCTTCTTGTAATTAACCAACTTTAGGTGAAAATATAGTTTAAGTTCTATTGGTTTAACGTCATAGCAATTTTAGTCTAAATGATTCAACTTTTCAGCTTTTGGTCCCGTGATTTCATCTTTTGCTGCAATTTCAGTCGTTTGAAGACTTAAATTGCTAATCAAAAATTAATGAATTTCATAATTTGTTGTAATTTAAGTCCTGCAAAATATTAAATCTCATGAATCATGACAGGAAGGCGACATGCTTGAACCTTGGCACTAAAATTGTCATGACGTAAAACCAACAAGAATAGAAATACAATTTTGCCCACCATGAGTCATGATAGGAAGGCGACATGCTTGAAGCCCAGTAAGTTCTGAATCTTGAAGAATTGTTATTGTGTTCGCGTTCGGGCTGCGGGCACACGGGATAATAGTTGATGGCCATGTGTTGACATTGGTCTTCGAGTATACTCGTTAGACCGTCTTTTTCCAATCCTAAGCTCTCAGATATGGCTTCTTGTAGCCAAAAACCGAGCTTCTGAATCTCCGTGCAGTAGCTACTTACGACATTCCTAAAACGCATAGCGCAAAAGAAAAAGAAAAAAGCTCGTTTCAAAGACTCGTTGCACGAGAAATGACAAGGATAATTTCTACATATATGTGCATTTTATAACTCACTTGAAAGTCGAAGGATTCGAAGGCCAATCGGGCACGAATTTTGCCAAAGAATGGCAATG